CACGAAGCCTGACCTAGGCGGGGACACACAGCACTCCTTTTGCCTGGAGGGCACCTGGGCAGGTGGGAGGGATGGGCAGCCGGCAGCCGCCCTCCTCCTCCTCACCACAGAAAGTGCGCGAAGCAGCGGGTGACCCGGTGACCCCCCGAGGGCAGGGCTGTCTGGGGGAGAGGGAGGGTGTCTCCTTCCCCGGCCACCCTCAGCCCCCCGAGCCCCTCCAACCTCTCCTCCTCCGGCTGTGCCGTCACACTGCACTCCCCTAGCCCCGCCCCTCCCCTTTTCTTATTGGCCAGCGGCCGCCGCTGCCCACCGCCCATTGGCCGAGCCCGCTGCCCACGTGCCCGTGTTTACAGGGCAGGGCACAACAGAGCCTCCCGTTGCTAGGCGACGTTGCTAGGCGACGCGGCGGCCCCCGGCGGCGGGCAGGGCCCAGGCTCCCCACTGCCTTCTCCGCGGCAATGACCCAAAATGCAAACGATGACGGCTAATTGTGACGCAGCTCCCTGCAGCCCGTGGCTGCGCCATGCACAGAGACCGTCCTGCCCGTCCGGCACCCTGCTCCCCCCTCAAAATCTCCCAGACAAGCCCAGTCCCGGCAAGGAAGCACCTCCATTTATTTCTTGGGTATCAGAAGCATGACAGATTTTACCCTCTCCCTCAGACGTGGGAATGGTGGAAGGTTGCTGCTGATTGCATCAACACACGGACTTCTCGCACCTTGCAGCAAAGCAAAGAGCCGTGTAAGCAGGGAAAAAAGAAACGCAGCTAAACACAGGCATCCAGACAGCCCCAAGAAGTGTTCAAACACTGGGAAAAAATCTTCGAGCCCGAGTGATCCATCGAAGTACTTACAAAAAAAAATCAAGAATTTCTTTTCCCTTAGAAACCTCCGGCTCAGACCATCACAGGGTCAGAGCACCCCCTTGGCTGAGGCACCCAAAGACCATTTCCAAGAATGGATGATGGTGGGCAGGCAGGAAGGGAAACAGACACCTCGTGTTTTTAAATGACACCAGATACCTGTTTTCAGACATTAAAATCAAAGCATCTAGATCTGCTCTGTATTCTTCTTTTTCAGACTGGGAGGTCTAAATTCCAATAGGGAGTAGAAAGATTAATATATGGGAACAAGATGCACAGAGGCAAGAAGCAAACCCTCCTCTGAGTGCCCCTCTTACCTCCACATCAGCGTCAGAGCTGCAGGCTCAGGAGTGCTACAGATACACCCAGGGGCTGCTCAAGCTGTCTAGACAGCACTCGGGACTGGCAGGAAAAGATGTAAAACCCCCTAAAATAGCACAGGCTCCATTAGCACAGTGGCGCAGCAACAGCAAGGGGAGGATCTTTGGGCTGGAGAGAAAATGCTGGTTTGATGCTGATGGGACGGCAACCTAGCTCTGGGCTGGTCAGGTCAGGCAGATGCTGTGTCCCCAACCCATATCCTGCTGCCACCCTTATGGGCCCAGGGAATACAGGGTACCCGTTTTCCTAAAGCAAAGTATTTTGAGATGTGAACATCTCCTGGCTTCAGTTTAGCCAACTGCTTTTGGCTTCTAGTCAGGGTAAGGTTTGAAGCAAAGCCTGATAAGAATTCAGGTTGTGGTCCCAAGCATAACTCTCTGCTCACCAGTGCTGTGGTTTCAGTTTCCACACAAATACAGCCCAGTACAAGCAAGCCTGACTGGGGCAAGAGCACTCAGCAAGCCCTGACCTTGCTTCTGGCTGGTCTGACAAGCAATTTGAGAGGAGACAAGAGCAATACTGCTCACAGTGTAAGCCAGTGTTAAAAGTGTGAAGAGTATGATCCAGTACTGGCTCAGAACAAGGGGACATGCAGACACCTGCAAGGGCTTCACACACTTCAGCACAGCACTGTGTTCCTCCAGCCAGCCGAGGTCCCACGCTGTGGTCACAAAGTACAGCTGTGATTTGTTCCCAGTGATTTGAAAATGCAGGAAAACAATCAATAGCATCAAGACCTCATTCAGCCCCAAGCATCCCTCATGGGATCAGGCTTGGAGGTTTAATCCATGCTGGATACTGGAGATGACCCAAGAGCTCTGGGCTTTTGTGTACCCTCACCAGCTATGAGACAAGGCGCTATGCTGCAGAACCAGCTCCCCCAGGACAAGGCACGCTTGTGTGCCCAGTGTTCAAGGCTCGTCCTTCTCCCAGAGTCACTGCCTGCTCCTTAGCACTGCGCACATTTTAGATGCTGGAGTGGAAGAGAAGGATGTAGGCAGAAGTTGAAGGATAAGCAAAAATAAAACAACTGCCTGCTAGAGACAGCCCGTTAGCAGCAGTGCTCTTTTAAAACTACTGCCTCCAAGCAGGATTTGTTCCACACATCAGCAGGCTACAAAGTGGCATACATTTTACTGAACTGTGTTTGTCAGCCTCATCTAGGGGGAAGATCACAGTTTGGGAATTTATCCTTGTATCATCCTGGAGATGAAAGCTTTCACAAGCACCTTGTGCAGCTTTCTCAAGTGCCCCTCCAGCCAAGGATTAGTGTCACTCAAGAAACGAGCAAGCAGTGAGTCCTACTTCCCCATGGAAGCTCCAAGTGAGCCTGGTTACAGCAACAGCCCCATGGTACAGACAGAGCAGCTGTTCAGGGGGTACAAGGTTCAGGGGAACCACCAAAACCGAAAAATTCTATGCTTTTTATTGCAGCTTCAGTATTAGTGTTTTGGAGAGCACAGCTGCATTAGAGGCAGATACTGTTCCAGCTCCCCTTCCCCATGAGAGTGCCACAATTCATCAGCTCCGTGCAACTCCAGAAACTGCACCTTGTTTTGCAGTGCAGACAAGTTTCAAGTGAGGACTTAAGACTCTCATGTGACTTGCCACTGAAGAACAATAATGATCCAAGGCTCGTAAAATGAAAAGGCCAGCACATTAACTAGCACCCCTTGCCCTGCTGGGAGACACATGTGAGCTTGTTCCCAGAGCCCTGACACAAGGATGTGAGCAGCCCTGCAAATGGATTGCCCTAAGCTGCCCTTTCTGGATGCTCCGCTAACTTAGTTTTGATGAAAGTCCTTGCTATGCTGTGCAGGAGATGAGAGGCCACTCAGCTGGCAAGGAGCTGCCCAGCTGTCTGAATAAAGCACTCCCTTCTGCGCTCTCTCAGGCGAGTCACAGTCAGAAACAGAAACCCAAAGGCTGTCTCCTCTTGCTGCCCACACGCAGCAATGAGCAGTCTCTATTCCCTTCTCATAAGCTGACAGCTACTTCTTTTTGCTTTGCTTTCCACCCCTATAGGGCAAGAGATAACAACTAAAAAAAAAAAAAAAAAGGAGGAACTTAAAAATTCACACCACCTCATTTCTCCATCTCTCTCAAGATATAATCCTCCCCACTGCCAGTGGCCTCTTCTATTCACCTGTAAAGTGCTGGTCAGGTGGATGTTTTCTATTAGATCTCATAGCCCAAGACTCTGAAAACCTTCACGCTCCTACAAGAATAAACAGTTGTGTTATGCCTATAATTTATGGTATTGCCGTTTCATGCATATTTCCTTCTCTTGTGGAAGCCAGGACGGGGGCAGCGCCAGGTCTAGTCATCGACAGTGATGTTGCGAAAGAGATAGGCCATGGACTCGCCATTGTGGATTCGTCGGATGGCTTCAGAGAGAATCAAACTGATATCCACAGTCTTTATCTTGGGGCACTGCAGCTTCTGTACCTCGTGAGGAACTGTGTTGGTTACTACCACCTATGGAGCGACAAAAAGAAAAGATGGTTAGTTGTGCTGCTGATACGCTTGCTCTCACTGAACAGCTACCCTAGATTAACTCCATGAGAGGCGTGTACCTGCTGTTTCACAGTTCTGGGGGAGAAATCCTTGTACGTTAGGAAAAAAAGATGAAAATAAATGGTCTCCCCCACATGAGAGTCAATCTGTTGAGGGGCCCGGCGTAACCAGCACTCTACAACAGCCACCTCCACACAGGCTGACGGGTGCGTTTAGAGCGCAGGATCTGATATGTTTGTTACTAAGGGCGAGGTTTGAAATCTTATCCTCTTAAGGTACCTAAGAGCTCATCATCAGCTGGGAGAGAGGGGCAGGTAGAAGGTCTGTGCAGTGAGAAAGAGATCACATGCACTCAGCTGTGAGAAGGGAAGTGTCCAGGCAGGGATGACTAATATCTGTGCATTAAGGAGAAAATATACACAGAGAAGCATGATCTGAACATGTATTAATCACACATGCTTTTTTTTTTTTTTTTTTTTTACAGTGAAGAACCAGCTAACTGAAAGCATCTGATGAAACCAGTCATTTCAGAGATGAGCTACGTGGCAGGGGAAGAACATCAGTTTGTAGGTTTTGGTACCTTAAATCAACCCAGTTACCAGAGCCAGCCCTTCCCCAGCAGCCCAGAAAGCAGATACACCTCATCGATGGAGGATTCCTCTATGAGACGGGGGGCATCTGCTGACAGGAGCCCGTGAGTAGCCATCACAAAAATCTTGTAGGCTCCACGCTCTTTCAGGATCTCTGCAGCAGCTACAAAGCTTTCCACATCATCGATGATGTCATCCTGAGAAGAGACAGAAATAACATCAAAACCAGAAGTTTATTGTGCCTGCAAGGCAGGAGTGGATCCGCAAGGTACTGCAGCTTTGGCCACAAACACAGCCAAAAAAATATAATCTCTGGCTACTTCAGCTGCTGTTGAGATTCAAGCACAGCCACGTGCACAACTTAAATCTGTGGACACCATTTCCCTAATTTACACACCCTTTTGCTAGTGTGCAGAACAAATATTGTGTCTTGGAAACAAATTAGTCCCTGCACATGCTCACAAGCAAACAGAGCTTATCTTCAGCAAGGTGGTTTTTTTTTTCCCCCCAGTGATAGTAGCTGCATGTTGATTACTTATACTGCAGCATGGCACAGCATGTAAGAAAAGCTCAGCGAGTGCTTTGGTTGGTTGGTGGTTTTTTTAAATACTTCAGGAGATTTCTCTGCATGTCCTGGATTTGTTGAGTATTTGCACACATCTGATATTTGTAAATTCAAGGGAGCAAGGAGATTTCAGGGCTTAAAGCACTGAAATACGAAGGATTTTCAGTGAAAGCCGAAGTAACCAAAGCCACCAGCAAAACTGGAAAAAACAGTGGTGACAATCCTGTTACCACCCCTACATCAGCAGTCTCTCCTACCCTCTGGGATAAAGCAGCTCAAGAAAAGATGCTGGGAGGAAGCCACCCCCCCTCCTCTCCATCACACTCATACCACAATGATGGCAATTCTTCCTCCAACGTCTCCAACCACAGTTATTGGCGGTTTCTCCTTGGCCATCATCACTAAAGAAGGAAAAAAAAAAAAAAGCCCAGGTTAGTTAGCCTTGAGTCAAACCACAACAGCTTCACCACACAAGAGGCCCTTAACTGTGTCTTACTGGTGCAGATACAGGCACGTGCTTTACATTATCCTGACACCCACCTAAGTGGGGAACCACTCGTTTAACCATTGTTTTTCTCCTTAAATGAATAGCACTGCTGCACAAAAGATGAAACTCAGTTTCTGTGGGAACCCTGTACTGACCTCAGAGATAGTAAGCAAATCCAAACAGTTCACAGATAACCTGTGCAAGGAGAGCTACAAAGCAGCACCTAGTTTACGGGAAACATCAGTGACTTTTTATGCTCCAGAACAGGACTTGGAATTTAAAAAAAAAAAAAAAAGGGTATTTCATGGTTGGGAACAACAAAGGGACTTCTCTGAGCAACACCTCTCAAAGGGCATATGCTTTACCAGATGCAGTTTTTCACCTGCTGGACTCACTAATTCATCTGAAGGATTTGAGACTCACACTGCAGCTTGCTTGCTTTTTCTCACATCACCAAACACACAAGGCTCTTTCTGAGGGCATAAGCACCTTAATAATATCTGCTCAGGCAAAGAAAGCTTAAGGAAGCTTACAGGAGCAAATTTGCTAATTTTTTTTTTTTTTTTTTTTTTTTTTTTTTTTTAAAGTGGATTAATGGAAAGAGCAGGACAAAATCCAGTTCAAACTCAGTTCTACAAGCTCAGGGCAATCAGCAATTTGAAGCAAAAGGATACATGGATGAGCTGTGCTATCTGACACACAGTGAAGAGATGTACTGCGAAATAAGGTTCCACTCCCTCCTGACTCTACTTTTGCACTGACATGGTTCATGGAAAAACTACATGTGTAGCAGGCTTTGTCCTTTATCCTGAAAAACTTCCAGCAGCACTATAAAAAGTAACAGAGAGATGAACTAGGATGCACTGAGAGTGTCCAGACATAACACAGTCTTCAGACTTGCATCAAACAGCAACCAGCCTCTGATACAGGCCAGGGACTTGCTGTCCATAAGCCAAACCTCTCGCCTGCCAGAGGTGCTGGTTTATACAGGGAATGCAGTACAAAAACTCCAGCATGGAAATGACACAGTGAAGGGCATGCCCGTGTCATTAGGTGATAATCTGAGCTGATCTAACCGCTGAAGCAAAGAGGAACATCCAGCATTTTGTAACACTTACCTGGCCTACCTGCCGCCCCCCCCCCCCCCCAAACT